GCATTCACGGAGTATATTTACATCTACATTATTTTCGTGTTGTATTATATCATTCCCAAAGTGCGAGTCGTGGCATTTGCCTGTATGTTCAGTCTATCCATGTTATTGTTTGTATAATCAGCTGACGTGAACGAGCGACCTTGGACCACAGGGAGGTGGGGGGAGTGGCCAGATACACCGCTGCCAGGCAAGCCTTAGCAACGACCAATTTCAGATTTTTCGAAGAAATAGTTAGCATCTTAGGTCACAACAGATTGAATTATTTATAAAAGGGTCAAAGAATGTTATTAGTGCATCCGTACTGCATGAAATGCTCGTTTCTTTTGCCGCCATGTGGTTGTCAGTGTACGAGTTTGTTGACTGTAAAGGGGTCCATAATGAGACCAGTTCAGTGGAAGGCAACGGAGCACCGCTGACTTGACAGATACGAAATGTTGGCGTGGAAGGCCGGTGTGCGTAGTATTTTGACGTGTGTGAGTAAACAGAAGTGGCCTTACAGAACAAGAGCACGAACTTGTCGACAAAATGTGCGTGGCGCCGGCAGCTGTCATGCGCGGAACTCCCACACGGCGGCGTCGGGTAAGGGGGCCGTTGGGACCTACGATGACCTGTACCGCCGATCCATCGATGAGCCCGAGGAGTTCTGGGACGAGGTGGGGCGCGGCGTGGAGTGGCACGAGCCCTACACGCGCGTCCTGGACAACAGTCAGGAGCCGTTCACCAAGTGGTTCGTGGGCGGGAAGCTGAACACCTGCCACAATGCCGTGGATCGCCATGTGTCTGCGGGAAGGGGCGATCAGGTGGCCCTCATCCACGAGTCGCCCATCACGAAGTCGCTCGCAAAGAAGACCTTCTCTCAGCTGGAGGAGGAGGTGTCGCGGGTGGCGGGCGGCCTGGCTCGCATGGGCGTAGGCGTGGGCGATCGCGTAATGGTTTACATGCCCATGGTGCCCGAGGCAGTGGTGGCGATGCTGGCGACCGTGCGCCTCGGAGCCGTCCACTCGGTGGTGTTCGGCGGATTCGCTGCGAGGGAGCTGGCGACCCGCATCAGTCACCTGGAGCCGCGCGTGGTCGTGACGGCCTCGTGTGGCGTCGAGCCGTCGCGCCTCGTGCGCTACAAGCCCATCCTGGACGAGGCGATAGCGCTGTCCTCGCACAAGCCCAGGAACGTGGTCATGCTGCAGAGGAGCGGGCTGGAGGAGGCCCCGCTGAGCCCGGGACGCGACGTGGCGTGGCAGGACCTCGTTGCCTCTTCGCCTCGCCACGACTGCGTACCCGTCGACGCCAACCACCCGTGCTACATCCTGTATACCTCGGGCACCACCGGGCAGCCAAAGGGCATCGTGCGGCCCTCGGGAGGTCACGCAGCCGTGCTTTCTTGGACGATGGGCGCGGTGTACGGCATGGCGCCGGGGGAAGTGTGGTGGGCCGCCTCCGACCTGGGCTGGATCGTCGGCCACTCCTACATCTGCTACGCCCCGCTGCTCAACGGCAACACCTCCATCGTATACGAGGGCAAGCCCGTGGGCACGCCGGATGCCGGCCAGTTCTTCCGCGTGATCCGCGACCACGGCGTGAGCGGGATGTTCACGGCGCCGACGGCCCTGCGCGCCATCAAGCGCGAGGACCCGGAGGTGGTGGAGGGCAGGAAGTACGACACGGCGTCGCTGCGGTACCTGTTCGTGGCCGGGGAGCCGCTGGACCACGAGACGCGCGTGTGGTCCGAGAAGAGCTTCGGGGCGCCCGTGCTGGACAACTGGTGGCAGACGGAGACGGGGTTCCCCATCACAGCTCACAGCGTGGGGATGAACATGTCACTGAACCCACCTCGAAACGCTTCGGGGAAGCCCATGGTTGGCTACAACCTGTCGGTGTTGACGGAGGAGGGGCGCGAAGCGGGGCCTGGCGAGCTCGGGCGCATCGTGTGCCGCCTGCCGCTTCCTCCCTGCTGCATGAGTACCCTCTACCGGGCGGACGATCGCTTCGTAGACACATACTTCAGGGAATACCCGGGTTACTATGACACCATGGATGCCGGCATGCGCGACGCCCAGGGCTATGTGGCCGTTATGTCGCGTGACGACGACGTGATTAACGTGGCGGGCCACCGGCTGAGCACCCTTGCGCTGGAGGAGGCCATGCTGGAGCACCCAGACGTGGTGGACGCGGCCGTCGTCGGCGTCCCGGACGATATGAAGGGCGAGGTCCCGCTCGGCCTCTTCGTCGTCAATGCTGGAAGTGAGCTGACGGAGGAGCAGGTGTCGAAGGAGCTCGTGGATGTGGTCCGCCGCGTGATTGGGCCCGTGGCGGCGTTTCGGCTCAGCGGCGCCGTCAAAGGGTTGCCCAGGACGCGCTCGGGCAAGACGGCAAGGAAGAGCATCGCTGACCTCGCACGCGACAAGGCCATCAAGATCTCTCCGACGATCGAGGACCCGAAGGTGTATGAAGACATCCACGCGACCCTCAAGCGCCTTGGATTCGCCCTCAAAGTGCCAACACCGAGCTGAATCCAATCGCGGACGCACAACTGGCGGCTCGAAGGGCAAACCCGTGACCGAGTTCCTGTGCGTGACATGTGGGTTTACCTTCCAGTATTTGGCGCTTGTGAAGGTGGCGTGACAAGAGTATGGGTACGGTGAGAAATACAGCTGAAAAGTGATGTAAAAATACAATAAAACAGTGACGATGAATGAAGTACGAACACGAGAAAGTGAAAGTGACAAGATCTATCTCGAGCAAAAGTTCTTGCAACACATACTTTAATAATGATAATGGAAGCACTGCCAGCATCATTGCATAATAATTTCTCAATCTCAGAGTGGTTGTCTTTATAGTTTTCTTTCAAAGTGTTAAGGAAATAGATTAAATATATAACATAACCAAAAGTTCTCTATAATTCTATACCTTTTTGCAAAACATCTGTAACTGCTAATAGATTTTCGTGAATTATTATTGGATGAAAATCATTTTATCGATTTTCACATTCTCTCTCACTCTTTCTCATTCTCTGTCGCTCCCTCTCTCCATCTCCCTCTCACTCTTCATGTTTCTTCCTCTTCCTGATTGCTTTTCTTCTCTTTCCCTCCGCCCTCCCCTCCTCCCTCCCTCCCCTCTTTCTCTCTTTCTTTCTCTCTCTCTATCTCTCTCTCTCTCTCTCTCTCTCTCTCTCTCTCTCTCTTCTCTCTCTCTCTCTCTCTCTCTCTCTCTCACTCACTCACTCACTCACTCACTCACTCACTCACTCACACACTCAATCACTCAATCACTCTCTCTCTCTCTCTCTCTCTCTCTCTCTCTCTCTCTCTCTCTCTCTCTCTCTCTCTCTCTCTCTCTCTCTCTATGTATATATCTATCTATATCGCTCCCAATTTTACTTTCTATTTAGGCTTTCCTTTTGACAGTCTGATTTAAAACAAGTGCTAGACATCAAGATCATATACCACCATGGTAAATTATTGTGGCGAAAGGGGTAAGACTGAGTTAACGATTAGGATAAAATGTGTTAGATATCAAAGGTATAGTATGGTTGTGAAAAGGGTAAAGATGGGGGAGCAAATTAAGTAAGTCTTGAGATTAGTAAAAGATGAAAGGGTTAAGAGTGTAAGAGATTGGATGAAATGGAGAGCATCTGTGTCTGAGGAAGGAAGAGGAACTATGTATAAGGAAAACTGGCGAAGAAGCCATTATGAAACAATTGACGGATAATACGGGTAGAGATGGGGTATTGCAGAAATAGGAGAAAAATCAGGGGAATGAGATAAGGTAACAGGGGAAGGTGGAGAAGTATCAGGAATGTCATGAGGGAAGGATCCGGAGAACAAAGTTGTGACATAAGGGAGTCACTTCAGCATCCAGGTGGGAGTGGTTAAGGATAATGGGGAAAGAAGTGGGGGAGGCACAGATGGATAAGGAGAGGATGTGTGTTGGAAGAGTAGGAGGAAGAGGGAGACTTGAGGAGGAGAAGGAGGAGGATGGATAGAGGGATTGGAAGGTAGATCGGGGTGCGGTGCGTTCTCTTGGGTCATGTTTAGGAAGGGTGGGATGTCCTCTGGAAGGGAGTTCGGTAGGGAGGTCTGTGAAACAAAGGTCTTCTTGTGAGAGGAGAGAGAGGGATAGATGCTAAGGACAGTTTTGGAATAGTTAGCGAGAGAAAAACCTTGTTGGCATGCTTCCTATATGGCTTCATGTAGAGTGAGGCCTAGTTTGAGTCTGGGAATTGCTACCTCAGTTCGAGATTGTAGGCAGGAAAGCTCCTATAAAATACGTTATGGGAGCAACCACAATTGCCATATGTGTATGACTGAGCAGAGCAATTTGAATGGTCATGACCAGGCAGCAGCAGGCTGGTAGAACGGGTGTTTGGCTAGGTGGCCAAAATTCTGACAGTGACTGGGAAGGGGTTGCTTTACACTGGCCTCTGGGAGGAATAGCGTAGCTGTATACTGCCTCTTAGTCAACAAGGCAGGCAAGCAGGTCGTTTTCACAGTCTGACCAGTCCTAGTTGTAGGTAGGACAGTCAATTGGGGAGAGTAAAATAGTATTTAGAGATGAGTGAGGTTGGGTAGGTCAATCAGGGTAGATGATGCATGAGCTTGGGCCTCAGATGTAACTGTGACAAGGTGGGAACAAATGGAACAACAGCGAAAAGAAACTTTGACTACTTGTTTATGGAGACTTTGTTGGAAGAGAAGGGTATTGATTTCTTAATGAGATCGTTAGAGACAAAGTAAATTACTGTCAGTGTAAGAAGTTTATGATAGGCCAGGAAATGTTATTCAGATATTCAGATATGCTTGTTAGCTAAAACAGTTGCTGTTGAGCAGTAAACTATTCTGTTGTCATATAGCAGAATAGCTTCTTTTAATAGTATGCATGTACATCTATTATTGCCATCCGTCTTTTCTATTAGATTACATAAATGTTTGGTTGATATGTGAAACATTAGCAAGCTGTTGGCGAAAGCGGTTCTTTTTTTCTTCATTGCGAGAGTTTTATTAATTATATGTAGGTATATAGTTTTGCTTAGATTTTACATGTAATTCATTTTTCTTTCTGTTCATCTTGAAATTCAAATAATATTAGGTTGTTATGTTTTACATAATCCCTTGATATTATCCATTATATAAGGAATAACATTTGAACAGTAATTTGATATACACAAAAGTGCAAATGTAAGTCAAGAAAGTGATTCTTTTTCAGATCTCATTTACACGTCTGAATGAATTTAGGCCAATGCACAAGTACAAATATAAAGTAACTTTGAAAGACTTCTCACATCTACAAATCATCTGGAATGTTAGCTAAAGAAAAATACGTCAAACAGTTCAGTATTTCATAAAAGAAAAGAAAAGAAAGAAAATAAAATTACAACTCAAAAAGTAATATAATAAATATAAAGAAGTGAAAGTATTCCATGAAGCAAAGGCAGGATTTTGAACTAAGTTATGCAGAAAAAACACAACCATAGCTTTCCTGGATAATTTTGTCTGAAGTTCATTACCAGTGTCTTCATTACTACTCATCACTCCACTTCCATATCTATTTACAACAAAGGCTTTGAACCTGCCTTGATAAACAGACACAGATAGACATAAAATAATAAACTGACATATATTTTGGCCTATATCACTATGGTGGCAACATAAAGCCTCAGGAAATGCATGTTTATGTTTTAATATTTTTACAATAACTTGCTATTGAAATTTTCCTGGTGTTAGATTGAAAGGACAGGGTAATGATTGATAATAACTGAAAATTTTCTATGACGTCAACATCTAAGGTCATTGGCGGAGTATTCAAAATATAATGATAGGGAGCAGCTTGAGGGCAATTGCTTTAGTTTAATATTCCATTAAAAATAACTAACGCCCATCTATTCCCTGGATACGCTTGAATATACGATATTCTTATTAAACTTTCAGAAATAGTTCTTGAGTTTTGCATCATTTAATACACTTCAGGAAAAATACAATAAAGATAGAATAAGTCTTGGAGGGTTTATGAAATGATATAGATTTATATTAAAAGGCTACAAAGTTGTAGTTGAAATAGTTTCTGCAAAATTATTTCATTTAAGATTGTTAGTCTTCTTATTCTTTTAAGGCTCCCTTCATACTGATTTCAGCTTAAACATAAACTGGAGAGACCCTTTTTATGAAGATATCTATTATCTTTGTCATATCGTAAGGATAATCTTATCTCATTTATGCAAATCATTTGTCTTCAGAGAATCGTAAGTAAGCATTTTCTATTACTAGAAAACTATGTGGCTCATTTGACAGCAAAATTAATAGGCTTCTTGTTTCTGCCTTTTTTTATTTGTAACCGGATATAACTTTTACTTTCTGAAAAAATTCTCATTACTCATCATTAAAATGCAAAAATATCACCAATTACATACTTAAACCATATATATATATATAAACCTATATATGTTATTTAACTTTCCTTGTTCCCTCTGTGGATATAATTGAGGAGTAATGCGCTCAATACAAATAACATAATATACTATATTTTATATGATTTTAAGCTTCATTCCTGAAATATGGTCACTCCATTGTAATAAAACTAGTGGAAAAAATAAATATGGACAATCACAATTTTCATTATTTAATATATACATGTCCAAGTCACTGAAATAATGAGTATCATAAAGTACTAAAATCTTGTCATATACAAAATATACATTTATTTACCAAGCTTTATATAAATATAAGTATTTTGTCTGACCATTGTATTACATGAAAGACAAGATTTGTGCATATATCAAACTTAAGTCGCTGGCATAATCAAGCTCTGGTCCATTACATACCTGTTACATATCAGTGAATGCATTTTCAAATAATCAACGTGAAATATCAACTCAATTTACATGAAGCACCATAATTTTTGTACATTGTCTATAAAATTGAGCATTTAAACATTTTTACTATATAATTGAGTATTTTAAATTTTTTACTAAGTATTTTACATAACTTTTTTTTTTATGAATTGCATTTTTGAGTTACCCTTTCCTTTTGTTTACATTAATTACTGCTGATTTTTGCATCTAACCTGCTATCAAAAAAGGCATTAAAACAAGCTATCAATACTCAAAATGTAGTACTTTCAAATAATGCACAATATCTAATATCTAGGCAATCATGACTTCCCTAGAATCAACATTACATTCATTTATATTAAAAATATATAATTTATAGCTGTACTTTTTCTTTATATAAAATATACTAATTTGTTAACAATCATTTTTTCTTCAAGTACACAACCAACCTTTCACTAAGCTCAAGGTGTACAAATATCCAAACCAAAGAGAGAGGAAAAATTCTGCATTAGCAAAGAAAGCTAAGAGAGAAAGAGAGAGAGAGAGAGAGAGAGAACTTTCCAAAAAAAGCCATCTTTTTCAATCCAGATTTGACATTTTCTAACAATCTGAATCTCTCTCACTAGTGCTTCACAGAGCAGATATCTGGCATATCCTTTATGACGAAGTCAAGGAGCATCTGGCCGTAAGCTTTTCCCTGAGGATCAGAGCGTAGGGATGCCACTCCTCCTCCACCAAGTGACTGCTCGAGGACAAAGTTGAGGCCACAGATGCCGTCAACTTCATACCTGGATAAAGAAAATTAAGGATGACTCATCAGTATCCAAACTAGCTACCTGCATTTGCTTGTTTACTTATTTATTTATTTTACTTGATTTCATTTATTTTCACAGTCTTAATTTATTCATCATATTTTTTTTTTTATTGTGGTGATGGTATTGACTGTGGTGAGGCAGTGTGGTGTGATGTTACTCCTTGAGAGTCTGCCAACAACAACTTCAGCACAATAATATATATGCAATATCTTAATGTTCAATTGGAAAGTGGAAAATTAAAATAAACAAATGAGTCAACTTTAAGCCCCTGAAATTTCTCTCAACCCTAAACTCATTTAGTCCTCCTTCTAATAAGACTTGCTCCCTCTAGGCTTAGCTTAATCAAAAGCTGGAAAGCCACAAATTCAATATGGAATTCAAATTTTGTATTCTCCAAGATCTCATTCTGCAAATACATGTTCAATAAGTTATATTAACCTGAGTATTCTGAAAGAACATCACTCAATAGCTGATATAACTACATGGTATTTTATCTCCAACAGTTTTGTGTATAATACTAATGTAGACAAAGGTAAATTTTATATCTTACTACCTTTTCACACAATCCACGGGGTTGACATCATCTGGGAAAACATGTCTAAAGTATTCTGCGACTGCTTCTGATGTAAGAGCCTCTTTCAGATAAGGATAGAGTGAAGGATGCCTTGCAATGACACCAATATTGCAGGAGTCTGCTTTGTCACCACTGCGGGTCAGAGCCAGGGACTCCAGCCGATAGCTGCCATTCAAGTTGTGAGATTAAACAGGGTATTATTAATATCATGTCAATAATATGAATACACTCGCTCACTCTCTCTCCACATATATATATATATATATATATATATATATATATATAATATATATATATATATATATATATATATATATATATATATATATATATATATATTACAGAAACATACCATTTTGATCCTTTAATCAAATCTGAGACTTCAGATACTGGCTGATCTGGAAAGTCATAGGTGCTGGCTGGAACTGTGTCTGCAGTCTCACTGTAGATTTCCTCTTTCCCATCAGCATGGATACTCACCTTAAACAGAAGTACTTGAGAATTTGGAATAATTCATGTCTATTTATTAATAACCAAATAATTCTGATCCCATATATTGCCTGAAGTGAAATAATATTTTTTGCCAGGGTAACTATTATCCTTTGAGGCAAATCTTGATGCAACAGAGTAAAGATTATATAGTGTCTCCACAAATTACCTTGCACTGATCTTTTGGAATGAGGAAGGAATGCAGCCGCAGTAGAGGCGATGCCCTAGGCCGACCTCCAACAATGTTTGTGAGTCCAGGGGCCATACCGGTTCCAGCTGCTGCTATTTCACGGGCAAACAATTCGACAGCCTTCTTTTGTTCATGATGGACAGAGATCCAGATGACACCCTCACGAGGACCTTCTCCAGTGCTACAAAAGAGCAAAGCACCTATTAGAGGTATAGGATTCTCAACCAAAGATGTGTAGTGTAACATACAACAGCTACAGAGAAGGGTTACCACCCAAGGACGAGTTTGGCTTTTTTACTTAGTTCAGTATAACCTAAAAGAAGGAAGTAATATATATGCATAAGACACAACTTTATATAACTATCAACCCACTAATGCCGGTATATTTTGAAGACAAAAATAAAAGTTTCCAGGCGGCTACAAAATCGGCATGCGGGGTTGGGCCAGACTCTGCCCGCACGCCGGCCACAGCCCACTGCTGAGTCGGAGCGCATGCCCAGATACAGTGTCACATTGGCGGGATGCCCGGTAATTTTTTTTTGCTTACCATTTTCAGACTTTTCAAGGACTTTTTGATCAATTTTAAAGTCACATCATAATGTAATTGAACGTTGAAGTCAATAATACATCATATGAACATAAACAAAGTCCAGGTTTTTTATTCAATTAAAAAATACACAAGTAACAATATTCATGCAAGTTCTGAGTCCACATTCATCATGATTCTTCAACAACCAAATTTAAACTTTTAAAGACATTATTAGGAATTACCTTATATTTAAAGATATTTACAGGCTTTCAAGACCTGAAAAAAATTCACAGACTTTAAAAGGAAATTCAAGATCACTGTAAACCCTGTATATGTCATTCGTATATAAAAAATACAAATATGTAATATTATGTTATATATTCGTGTTATCTATCTAACAATGATATATTATATATATATATATATATATATATATATATATATATATATATATATATATATATATATATATATATATATTTAATTCTAACAAATAAAGAACTCTTGGAGATCCTTTGGTGGGTAGGACTATAAGCAGAATATTTATTAGCATTTATGTAATTTAGCCCTCTTGACAAAGTAGATATTACTAAAATGTTAACCTAATATAATACATATTGAAAAAGTTTCTAGCTCATAGACAATAGTTCACAGCAAGGTCACCCTCTTACAGCCATCTTCCAAAAATCTCAGGGTTCATCTTGCTGACAACTTCATGCTGCTGAAATTTTATCCATTATTATCTTGTTAAAAACCTAATCTTGATGAAGTTAAGTTTAATGCACTCTTAATCTTCTTCACACTTCTTAAAATTAAGAGTGTAACCCCACTAAAACCCAAGTTGGGCAGACGTTGTTAGGCAGCAAGAAATTTCTCGCAAATGAGAACTCTCTATGACCTTATTTTTCATACTACAATATTAATTTTAAGATCAGGAAGAATGGAAAGACATCTACAGTCATTCTAAATTAGTGCCAGGAACACTGAACAATCAACAGTTTTGGAAAATATTTTACCCTGATGACACTAATCCCAATCACGGCCAGTTTGCCTGAGTTTTTAGAACATCAATAATGTCAAAGGCCAGCCATCATGTTAAAAAGCTAACAAATGAAATTTATACCATGCCCAGGAGAAGAAATAAGAGGAGGAGACTGAGGATGACGAGGAGAAGATGTAGAACAGAAAGAGGATAAATCAGAAGAGGGGGAAGGGAAGGAAGAAAGAAAGAAGGAGGAGGAGGAGGAGGAGGAGGTAGCGGAGAATGAGTAAAAGCAAAAAAGGTGGAAGACAAGGAGAGAGAGACAGAGGATGAGGAAGAGGGGAAGGTGAAAGAGGAGGAAGGAGGAGAAGAGAAAGAGACAGAGAAAGAGCTAGGGATGGAAGAAAAGAGGATGGGGAGGGAGAGTAAGAGGAAGTAGAGGACTACAAGAGAAAGAGGAGGAGGAGGAAGAGGAAAAGAAAGAGGAGGGAGAAAGAAAGAGGAAGAGAGAGAAAGAGGAGGGGAGGAAGAAAAGAGAAGGAGGTTGAATAGAAAGAAAGAGGAGGAGGAAGAGAAAAAGAAAGGGAGGAGGAAGAGAAAAGAAAGAGGAGGAGGAAAGAGAAAAAGAAAGAAAGGAGGAGGAGAAAAGAGAGAAAAGAGGAGGAGAAAGAGAAAAAGAAAGAGGGGAGGAGGAGAGAAAGAAGAGGAGGAGAGGAGGAGGAGGAAGAGAAAAAGAAAGAGGAGGAGGAGGAAGAGAAAAAGAAAGAGGAGGCAGTTGAAGAGAAAAAGAATGAGGAGGTGGTTGAAGAGAAAAAGAAAGAGGAGGAGGAAGAGAAAATAGAGGAGAAGGAGGAAGTAAAAGAAGAAGAAAAGTAAGCGGGAGGAAGAGAAAGAAGAAGAGGAATTTAAAATTCATACATGTCTTGGGCAAATTCATGAAGAATCCAAGAAGGATACACAAAATTCCCATAATCACCTTGCATGAGGTCCATAGGTATCTTCTGCACCCAATATCTGGATGTGGACTCTGGTGAAGTCAGGGAGCTTGAGCATTTTGAATATGTTGCGGCACCTTTGCACAATTGCCTCAGCTGTTTTCCTGCCCTTGTCACGGCTTCTAGGTCCTCCGATACAGCTGACAGCAGTGGCCTTGTAGCCATCAAGATATGTTGCACTCACCTATAAGCACAGTGACTAATGACAAACACAGTATAACACATGGGAGTATATTTGAAAAAAATATGAGGTTGTTCCACTGTGATGTAAGAGTACAAAAAAAAAAAAAAAAAAAAAAAAAAAAAAAAAGTACTTTCTGCTTTCTAACACTGAATAATTTATCTATCCTAGACTCAAACACTTTTTTTCATGTACTAAATATCCATGATTTAACCCTATCATGATGGGGCCAGAAAAAATCATAACACAACAGATAAAACTGGCTGGGTTTGTGCTGATAACAGCCAGCCCGCCAGCTTGTTCTGTAGAGACACCTTATGACAATAATACCCATATATGTCATAATGGCTATAGCTGCATATGTCACTGAAGGGTTAAGGTATATCACTAATATGTAATATAATGCTATGAAGCACTCACTCACATCACCCCCTTCATCTACATCCTTACCATTATCACAAATCCTCAATATCCCTATAAAAAGCCACCCACCTTGTATGAGTCAGTGGGCTTCCTCCCTTTAGCCCCTCTCACAACAACCCCACAGTTGGTCTCCTCTAGCTGGACCCCAGTAAAGTCACAAGCAACATCCGGGAGAATATAGGCCCGTGGGTCCCCAATCTCGTACAGCATCTGCTCAGCAACAGTCATTTGATTGACAATACCTCCCGTGTTGGGGGGCTTTGTGATCATGAAGTCTCCATTGCCTGCCACTTCTGCTATGGGGAAGCCTAGATAAGGGAAGAAAAAGAACATGATGTTGAAAAAGAAAAATAGAATAAAAGGGAAGAGAAAAACAATACATGCCAAAATGTGTACTGTAACCACTTAATACAGTCATATCATTATTATCAAAATCTACCTATGCATCCCCATTCAACTTCCCTATATACATCTGCTTATGAGCTCAACATAAGCTTCATACCTATATTATGCCAGTCAGGGACAGCCTCCCAGTCAGTATAAACACCACCAGTTGCCTGTGCACCACATTCAATCAAGTGACCTGCCAGGCTGCCACTTGCAAGCCGGTCATAATCATTTGACTGCCACCCAAACTGCAATAAATACAAGAGCTTTTCTTTTCTGGAAGGAAGACAAATAGAAAGAGAGATGCAGAGAAGATGGGGCAAGAGGATCTATGAAACTATATGCACATAATCTAACTTTACATTTTTATTTACTAAGGGGAAAAGGTGGCAGGAAAAAAATTCGGACCAATTCTGGAATCTCTTACACTGTGCATGAGAGGCGCAAGAGCCAAAGAGCTGTCTGCACACCGTCCTGTAACAACAATATCTGCACCTCCATCTAAAGCTTTAGCTATAGGACCAGCTCTGTAAAAAAATAAAATATAAAGAAATGTAATTTCCATTAAAATCAATTACAAATGAATATTTAAACTAAAGAAACTAATATCTGCTTAGCAAATATATAATTATTTGGACATTCTGATTCCATACATAAAAGTACCTTTAACAAAAGTCTGCATATTTACAGACTCTTACCCTAAATATGCATTCATGCTGTGGACAGTTTTTGGTAGAGGAAGACCACTTTTCATGTCGGGCATTCCGGCTGCTATCAATTGTTTCTTTACTGGCATTAAATCATCACCCGTAACAACAGCAACCTGTTCAATTATATTCTATTGTTAATCTCCTGCATGACTGGGGAGTCAATGATGATGATCTTGAAGAGACACTAAGTATTCCACTAGCTTCACTGTCATGATTCTTTTTAATTCATGTATTCCTTATCCAATATCAATCCAAAAGCTATCCTAATCACTTCTTCTCTCTTCCCCTTTTACAACTTATTTTTTTGTCTGTGCCTACAATTGATATTGTTTAGTCTTACAGTTGGATGTTTTCCATTTCACTTCTCACCTCTCATAAAATGCTTAATTTGTGAAGTTGCAACCCCAAAATTTTCCATAATTAAACATAATCAAAACTTCAATTCTGGTTGATTCTAATAAGTCTCTCTATAAAAATCTCAAAAGAGAGAATTGCACATTCATTTTTAGGATCAACATGAAAGACCATACAGTTCAATAAAATACTATTTTCAAAAATTGAATAGAAGAAATATAACATGAAATACAGCACATTCACACTATACTTTATATCAAAATTAACACATTTTAAAAGTATATACAGCAACCTTCTCTATTCATTAAGATAAAAGGGAATGTATGCATGATATCTATAGCTGTTTTCAGTATCAATACAAAACAGTATAAATGGCATTTCATGAGGGACACTGACAAAAACTCACCTTCAGATCAACACCAGCCTTGCTAGCAGCCTGCCTCAGTGCCTCAGCACAGCCCTCTGGGTTGATTCCACCAGCATTGCTCAGGACTCTGATACCTGGTTATTTTAATGTGGTTAAATCTTATGGCAACAAAAACAGAATACATTGATTGTGTACAGGGAAACAAATATCTTACTAACAACCGCATATACTCAGTACAGTATATACACACACAGTTACATATCAAGGTTATCAGTAATAAAGCATAATACAATGCCAGGTCTGACACAAACTGGCCACATTCATACTTAAAAAAAAAAAAAAAAAGTCATCCATCAAAAATATCAGAAATTGAAGACAATGTTTACAAATGAATACAGACAACTGCCATACGCACCCTTCCGTTTGATGTCATTCAGGTATGGTCCAATGGCATAGAGAACAAAGTCAGGTGCAAACCCCAGCTCTGGCTTCTTGGCTCTTGCAGCCGTAAGGAGGGACATGGTGATTTCAGAAAGGTAGTCAAACATGAGGAAGTCCAGGTTGCCATTGTGAATCAGTTGAGGAGCTGCAGAGGTAGAAACATAGTTCATACATGTTAGGTGGGTGGGTGTGTGTCTGTGTGTACTGTACATGTGTGTGTACATGTGTATGTAAATGTGTATGTAAATGTGTATGTAAATGTGTATGTAAATGTGTGTGTAAATGTGTGTGTAAATGTGTGTGTACATGTGTGTGTGTACATGTGTGTATGAAAGTGGGTATGAGTACATGTGCATGTGCATGTGAGGATGATGGCAGAAACAAGAGATGAAAAGAAATCCTTAATCAAGAAGAAGAAGAAGAAAACTAATGGACCCTCAAATCAACAATCCTGCTTTCATATTACTTGTTGTTCAGGGTTACATGATGATAGGCTGTTTCAGCCAGTTATGCTGCGTTCGAAACTTCTTGTCCAACAAGCTGGTCAAATTGGACAAGACGTTTTGACTGTTTGGAACCTCTACTTTGGCATCCTGGACAAGTTGTCCATCTTTCCCTCATGATCGCATTTTAATGTAAACAATGACAGTTGCAAGCAACCATTTGATATATGTAGGTAATTCTATGGTGGTTTATTGTTGTTGTCAAAGGGTATTTTTGTATTTGTCAGTTGAAAGTAACAGCTATGCATTAGAGGAGTTACAGAAACAGAGCCCTGATACAGCGTCACACTGGCGGGACGCCACCAATGTTTATTTTTTTAGGTGTCTCATATGTGGGACACCCGTCATTAGTGGGTTAAAATAGTGAATGTTTACTTTCGAGCTGGTTGCAGTGGGCAACATGGTTCTGAATGCAGCCACGTTGTCTTACTGATCCTGACAAGTTGTCTGGATGAGCAAGATAAGAAATTCTTAATACAGCATTTGGATTTAATTGTTGTATTAAAAGAATGTCAATGTATATGCTGCTTGGCTGCAGTAAAGTATGGCAATAACAGTGAATTCAAGAAATGTATCACAATTGTAAACTACATTTTAATTATTGTACAAGCATAATTTTTCTTCTTCTTTAGGCATGCAACAAGTATAATAGAAGAAATATGGCAGTAATTTTTCCTGTTAGTTCTGCACAACGGATTGTGATAATTTTGGTTTCATTGGATTCCTCTTTCTGTCTGGACTACAAATACATATAAATAATCGTGTGGAAACCCCTCACATTTTCAGATCCGAGAGCAGAGGAGGGCATGAAATGTACCAGGGAAATTGTGGGGTAAAATTGCAAATAAAATACACAAAATCAGTCACAGTATTGTCTAATGCAGGGGGCTGTGCACCCTGTGATCTTCCTAATGGGCCCTGCCTTGGAAAACAAAGAATCCTCAAATATTCACAGCAGTAAGGACGTACAACCATATAAGGTAGCAGCATTGCCAAGTCTGTCCAATTCTCTCTCGTATCGTGAATAGTAGAGGATTCTTTCTTTTCCTTGGCTGAAGTTGGGGAACAGCAGCCCCCCATGAGGAAGTTTCAGGGGGCTTATTTTGTGGATATTATTTACATTTAACCCCACAATTTTCCCGGTACCTTTCATACTCACCCCTGCTATCGGGACCAAGAATGTGGGGGTTGGGGGGTTTCAGTGCAGTAAAACCTACATATTTGCATTGTAGACGGTGAGAGGAATCCAATGATACCAAAATCGTCGAGATCCGATATAGTATGTATTAGAAAAAAAATACCAATGACTTATCGATCTATCTAGTACATGTACTTGTGCCAACTGTATTTACGAAACTGACATTCTACTAGAAGGACAAATACAGAATAAAGGAATAAGGAAGAAAGAAGAAAAAGTTCAACGCTAAACATGGAGAGATAAGGAGTATTTTCGACGGTGTACTTTCATACCTGCCGTAGGAGTGTCACCCCAGAATCCGCTGGCACACCCGATCCTCACTGGTTTCCCTTTACTTTGGTCTACTGAATACCGACGATAATTCGTAGTTATGGGTAAAAAAGGCCATTTCCTATGCGTTGCTCGAAGAAGACGAGTCGAGAGGGCTGACATCTTTGTTGTTTAGATTTCGGATGATGTGATTTGATTTTCGATTTCACTTTTGTTGTGGTTATTAATAAAATATAACGCCTTTGTATACTACAATGCAATATATTGTGCTTGATACAGTTAATCTTCACGGCAGCTCTACGGAGTGGTATGTGCTAGAGATAAGTGAAAATCAATTAAAGCCAAAGCCACATATTCGAATACCAGTATCGCAAATTCTCGACATCGAGTGAATTATTTTCTTTCAATCATTGTCAAAAATATTCTGATATTTATGCAGAATATATTAAATATGATAAGATGATATGAATGTAGAAGAAATTTAAAAGAAAAGGGCAGTCACTCCCTTATTCAAAAATCCATTTTATTACGTTATCTAACTTCTTTCTATACACCAGTCAATTCGTAATTACGATGTAGCGTTATTTTTTGAAGCTTATGAGTACACGCCCTTCTCAAAATGTCAATTTAACACATAAGCAATCCTTACATTAGAAAATCAATATACCTATAAAGGCTCCTAAAAATACGTAAATAGTATTACCTTTATCAGCTTTTTACATTATCTTGGGGACATTCACACAAACAAACCCCTCAGAACAAGTCATCCAAATGTCAGCCAAGTTTTAAAGGCAGGTAAATATCATAGACGAAGAGAGAGCGATAGAAATGAGTAAGCAGACGAAAATATTACTGGAACGCACCAGCCAGTGTTCCTCTGCAACGTCATTGAGTGATGAGGAAGTGCGAGTCGCGGCTGGAAAGTGTCGAAATTAACCCCGTCTTAGTCATGTGAGGTGCAAATCCAGTTCGCTATAAAAATGGTCAGATAAGAACCACAAGCGGTGTTACCCTTTTTTTTAAGTGCTCGCATCCCCAGAAAAGTGATTCGAGATGGATATGATGACCGAGGGCGAGACCGTGTACAACTCGCACGATGACTCCCACGTCGTCATGTCGGAGAAGGTGCAATCTCTGGCGGGCAGCATTTACCAGGAGTTCGAGCGGATGATTTCCCGCTACGACGAGGATGTGGTCAAGGACCTCATGCCCCTCGTCGTCAACATCCTGGAGTGCTTGGACCTCGCCTACACAGAAAACCAGGAGCATGAGGTATACCCCAAGACGGAGCATATCATTATATCCTTATATCATTTATTTACTCAACTTCTTAAGGAAATTTCATTCCTTTATTGTCTCCTCTTGTTAGGACTCTCTTTAAGGATGAAATGTGGCGTCTGTTTGCTTAGAGTGATGTTCAGACCAAAACATATGTCTCGGTGTTGACGACAAAGCAGTTCGAGGGTTTTTCTCTAGTTGTTTATGTTTTTGCTTCTGTCTCTGTCTCATTGGATTTATTCCATTTGTTCCCATACTGACTGAATAAACCATCAATTGTTGGATTCAACCATATTGTTTCAGAACATCAGAAAATACTAGACTAGTATATACTGACTGCTTGATTGCTGTAATAAGACAGATCTAGTTTACCATGTCACTTGTTTTATGCATATTTAAGCTTGTTACTTAAGATTTGGGTTTTGTAAACAAAAAAATCAGAAAGTAGAGTTTTGTTTTCTTTTTCTTTCCTGCTATAAATGTGTTGGATACCTGTATGCAAAAAATTGATTCTCATCATATGAAAAAGCAGAGAAATATTTAATTATGAAAATTGATAAAGGACCACTAAAATTAAGTTTCATTGTGAAAGATGTCAATCAAAATTCAACTAATTTCCAATAATTTACTATTTGGCATTGCACGTTTCTACTAGAAGAGCTTAGAAAGCAGGGAAAAGAAGCCATGCTATTTCTAAATGTCTGCATTATTCCCAATCTATTTTGCTTAGAATTATTAGGTAACTTAAAGAAAGAAAACAAAAAGTGAAGGGATACACCCTTTCCCAAAGTAGTTTATAATATACTGCATAGCCGGATTATGTTTTGCATAATCAGTCTCTTGCAACATACACTTGTGCTACACAAGATTGCAGACAAAATATGAATTGGCAACTATTCTCAAGATCACCCAAACTAGTCCTTAAAGAAACATTTCAATATTGAAGAATATCCTCAGTCACATGTAGATGGTGCTTTAAGAGAGTTCCTCTCTTCTCTGTCAAAACATGATTGCAGTGTGCTATATGGACATTATTGAAATATTGCATATAGGTGAGTTAGATGAGCTAGCTTCAGGACTGATGCTTATCCCACTTCGTAAATCCATAGGTCAGAGGGATGTTTTTGTCTCAGTGACGTGATTGTATTTAGCCTAGTAGCTTTGTCTTAGGTAATAATGTGAATCAGAGAGTGGATTTATTTCTTATATGATTATATAATCCATGGGGCAAACAAAAATAATAATTTGTTTCCTTGCATTTTTTTTTTTTTTTTTTTTTTTTTTTTTTTTTTTTTTTTTTTGTATTTTAGTAATTTATCAGTTAACTATGTGGAATATCTTTGATGTGCTCTGCAAAAGGAAAGACTTATTTCTTGACTGATACCTATTTTTTACCATAAGGTATTTTTTGTTAATCTTTGGTATATATGTTTTAGTGGTCAGTGGGCACACAAATGTTTGGTGAAATAAAGAAATAAAGATCTCTTCTATGAAAATCAGTTTTCATGCAAATATTATACTTAGATATCCATAAAATAAGACAAAAACTCTTTCTCAATTAGACCTACAATATTTCAGGACAATCAGGTGTAGATTTTTTAGCTATAGTCTACTTTATTTGCTTCCTTTTACCAGAAGTTTATGGTTGTTTCAGAACACTTCGTTCTATGAAGAAATATGTCATGTAACCTTGCCAGTCCTGCACTAGTATATTATTCTCTTTGTATTGAAGTGATGTGTAGAATAGCCTATGGAGTAGCAGCATAATACAGTTATCCAGTATTTTATCAATAGCTAAATATACAGGGATGCAGCTTAGCCTGCTACTACCAAATAATAACTTAATAGTCAGTATCATAGAATATAGGGGTTAATCTTTACAGTATGGACACACTAAGTTAGGGCAAATTGAATATGAAATTCTTATAAAGAACAAAATGTAGTAGTTGTAGTCATTGGTAAAAGAAATAATCTGCAGACACGAATGGTCACATCACAAATAAAGGAAAAAGATTCCAGAAAGCACCATTCTCCATTCGGTACTCTCAAGTTTCAGCTCTATCTTGCTGTACATACCAAGTTGAAGACAATGTTTCCTAGGGGATGTTGGGAGGGCAGTAACGCCAAGTCATGGCAGCTTAGATTGATGAATAGATTTTTTGATGAGGAGTTAGTCTTTGGCAAGTGCATCTATACTATAAAGAATTACCAATATTGGAAACAATTGTAGATTGGTTGTAAAATGACAAGAATGCATGTGGGCTTGTCATGTTTCTCTATGCCATTGCAATCTGAATCAGTGTCCACCAGGCAGGGAGAGTTTATTAGAGTTGTTAAAGTGATGCAAAAAACAGGTCCAAATTATGAGATTGCTTTGTGTTCTTGTCTTTTTCTCTTTCCTCTTCTCTTCTCCCCTGCCCCCAAGCATATCAACAATAGTACATATATTTTGAGTATCTTCCACAGTTTGACACAGTTTTGAAATTGACACATTGCTTTTATTGATTCATGATTTTTTGTTACCAGTTCATTCAGCCTTAAACTTGGCATAAGCTGTGTCATGAGAGAAAAACCCTCAGATGATGCCATAGTTTGCCTGATGTTTATGCCTAACACTTTCAGAGCAAAGACAGCAGCTACATACTAATTTTGTGACTTTTGTATATCCACTATATCATCAGTTTGTGGGCCTATTTTTTTGTAAGGTGAGCTTTAACAGATTGAACTAGTGTCTATACAGCAGCAAATAAGGACATTTAGATGATAATTCATCACACACATGCATGCACGCACATACACTCATGTGCACACTACGTATATATGGTAGGTAGAAAATAGATTCAGTATGAGAGAAAATCCAAGAAAGGGAAGAAACAGTTTAGAGTTTAAAAATTGTAATCATAATAATAATGAGATCATAGGGTAAGAATATCTGAATGTAGTCAGATATTCATAGTAAGAAGTATATAGCTATTGCATAGGCCAAATCTTAGCTATAGAAGTTGGGTTTATGAAATTATACTGTGTTAGCTTTCTCAAAAGATATGGCAAAGTGAGCTGAGATAAGCATCATAGTTCAGCTTACAAATGTGATAACAACTACCTGTGAATGATAACAGAATCTGGTGTGTGATAATAATGCCAAGAAGTATTTAATTAGGCTTAGAATTATACCCACTTAACCCTAAAGATTGAGGTCAGAATTGGAGCAGAAATGTCTCAGATTCAAGTAGCTATTGGTGGAAGCAGCAAAAGCAGCAATTTACTAGAAGTTAGTAAGCCATTAGTGATCATCCCGGCCTCCCTCCCTCCCAAGGCAACCTGTATCACGACCCCTAATCGCTTCAGCCCACTATCACAATCCTCGCTTAAGTGTGGCATTACCCTCACCCTAGATTTTATGGTATTATTTAAACTGCAATGGCATGTAGTTAGTGTGGAAAATAAGCTAATTGTCTTTTAATTACATTGTGTACATATGGGAGGAACATTTAAAAAAGATATAATGCATCATTGTATCAGTATAATAAACTCACATAGAACTATTTATATAGGACAATAGGTGCATTTACTCAGAGCTTTACAGAAACATGCTAAGTAGAGGGACATAGACTTATTGATTCCAGATCCTTGCAGATGTCATAAAAGCAAAAAGAGAGAGAGAGTAGTATAAGCAATGTTTAGGTGAACTTGGGTAACCAGAATTTCCTGTTATACCTGTTATAAGGTCCTTTCATCTTTCTAATAAATATATAACTTATTCTCTACCTAAAATGTAGTCAGAATGATAGAGTTGATATAAGGTGATGGTGGAGCAGGTCATGCAGTCATCATGGAGTAATCTAACATCAACATGAGAAATTTAGCTTTAGATAGGTCTGGAAAAAAATTGGGGGGGAAGAAGTGAGAGAATAAAAAGTTTAAAGGAATCTTTGGTGGCATTATTCTCAGAATTTAACAAATTGCAGTTTCCTGTATATTTATTTAATGGCTGTGTTATATATAGTTGTAAAAGTTTATGTGTAGAATCTTTGGGAAATTTGAAAGGGTTTGGACATTTAGTGATGCTGATTTACAGTGTCATAATCTGACTTTATGATGGATTTTTTTGGAATGATTCGTATTTGTAATTGAGTTGATTCATATATATAATATATATATATATATATATATATATATATATATATATATATATACACACATGCATATATATACATATATACACACATGCATATATATACATATATATACACATCCATATTTATACATATATATACGCATAAATGTATACTCATATATGTGGTTACATATACATATATATATATATATATATATATATATATTATATATATATAATATATATATATATATTATATGTATGTATGTATATACATATGTATATATTACATATATACATATGTACAAATGTATATATACATATATACATATGTATATAACCATATATACATATGTATATAACCATATATACATATTTATATATACATATATATAAGTATGTATACATATATATGTATATATACATATATATGTATATATATATATATAATATATATATATATATATTATATATATATATATATATACATATATATATATATATATATATATATACATATATATATATATATATTTATATATATATATATACATATATATATATGTATATATATATGTATTATTATATAATATTATATATACATATATACATATATATATATATATATATATATATATACATATATATATATATATATATATATATATATATATATATATATATATATACATATATACATATGCATATATACATATATATATACATATGTATATATACATATATACATATGTATATATACATATATACATGTATATATATATATATATGTATTATATATATATACATATACATATATATATATATGTATATATATATATAATATATAGATAGATAGACACACACACACACACACACA